TTTATTCAAAGAAATAGAAAATCTTGCATTATAATATCGAGTTTTATGAGATATTAATTAGCTTTAAATATGAGCAGTGGCGGCGCGAGCGGGGAGGGGAGTGCCCCCCTGCTTTTAGAAAAAAGTACGATTTCTGAGCTGACTTTCTCGTTTGGGACCCATTTGTTTTCTCCTTTTTTGCCATTTTAGATTCGAAAACTGGGGGGTAGGTCTACAGAATCCCTTGAAACCTAAACCAACGACCTTCTTTTTCTTTTTTGATCATCAGTTTTGATTTTTAGGCAGTTAAGGCGGAAAAGTTTTTGAAAAATCCATGAAAACTGAAACTGAGAAATTTTTTTTTCTTTCTCGCGTTTTGTGATTACCTTCCTCCTGCTTTTAGCTCTTCGCGCCGCCACTGAATATGAGTGAAAATATCATGCTTATTTATCTCGATTGACTATGCATAGTTCCAGTTTCACGAAAAAAGAATTATAGGCTTTGATCCGGATGTAAAATAGTCGAAGTTTATGCATTTGTGAATCTTTCGATTGTGCAAAGACGGATCATTCTCATCGATTAAAGTTGTACTAGCATAGAAAGCGATGGTTACAAAAGTTCGATGAATATTCGAATGAGAATGAAAGAAGTATAGATGTAAATACAATGAGTTGTTTCTACAATTCGAACAGAAGGATATCTCTTATGATAAATGATGGTACGAAGTTATTTCTAAAAATATTCTATTTAGCTCTACATGTTCATATACAAAAATATACTGATACAGTTACAACATTTGATAATCTGGTAAATATCAACTATTTCTTTAGTAGATCAATTCGAATTTTTTTTATTTAGTGTGAAAAATTAAAATTTCAACCATGTTTTGTTTATGAAGAATCGTTACGTATTCAAGTTCTTTGTGCACAACATGAAGCTGGTTTATGGAAACGAAATGGTCATTCATTATCGAATCAAGTATATCTATATAAGATTTTTTATTTAAAAACTTATATTGTTTTTTTTTTTTTTAAAGATTTATTATTATTCGAATGTTAAATGTCGAAAAGAAATGTATGATCGTGATATACTTGCATTACAAGTTGGTGCTTCATTAAAACCAGCTGATACATATTTAATTCAACTTTTACATAAATTTAATTTATTAGATTGGGTTCGGTAAGATTATTATTTAAATGAATTTTATTTTTTTGAAATTGTTTTTATTTGTTAATTTAATTTTTTAGAAGTCCAGAAAATGGACATTCATCAGATACAGAATCAAAAATAAAAGCTAAAGTTCGTATAATGGAAGAATTTCTTCATCTATTAATTATTATTGTTGGTGAACGACATGAACAAGGTGTCGGAAAAGTTACACGTGAACAAAAATTAACTCGCGAAGTTATACATCAATTATGTATATCACCAATGGCACATTCAGAGTTAGTACGAGGATTACAAGATTGTGGACAATTAGAAACAGTTCGTATTCATCATTATTTTTTGTTATCTATTAAATGAATAAGAAAATTATTTTAGGGATCAGGAGATCTTGAAGCTATATTAAAAGAAGTAGCTGATTTCAAGTAAATAAAACAAAATTTTAATAAATATATATACATGTATTGTTTTATAGACGAGGTACTGCAACAAAAGGAAATTATGAATTAAAAGCAGATAGATTATCTGAATACAATCAATTTTATTATCATTATACAAAAGCAGATCAATGCAAAGTAAGATTTATAATCTATAACTCTTAAAAGGAAAATAGTAAAGAATTGAGAAATGTTTTCATGAACTCGGGCAGGGACAAAGACAAAACGTACTCGGTGTTCGTATTCGTCTTTTCTTTTACCATTTTTACCGCGAGTCCGTAAAACATGTTGATCAGGAAATTATAATTTAAAAAAATACAGGGGAATCGGAGCGAAATGCTCGATAATATATAAAGTATTGTCACGAAATCGAGTGACGGTGTGGGTGTGGATGTGTAGTATCAGCGAAGAATGACCTATACACCCACACTTACTCTAACACTCTGCTTGTTTTAAATCTTTGTCATTCCGAAGATTTTGTATGTTTTTATATGTCCGGAAATCGTAAAAAAAAGTTGGTGCGTTATGTCTCTTCCCCCTCGGGCATATGTTATGACATGCTAAATCGGTTGTTCTACAATTTAAAACATCGTTTTATCTACTAGGACTACTTGTTTCTATAACAGAATTGATATCAAATGAACGAAAATGTAATGAGCTTACTCAGTATGATAGCGTTTTAAATATCGGAAAACAAATTCAATTGAACTATGAAAGAGATCTTCATATTTTCTTTTAATAAATGATTGCAAGAAGTTTTATTTAATATAAATCTATATATTATTTTAGTCTGAAGAATATGTAATTAAACGTCGAAAACAAAATGATGATAGTAATGTAACCTCATTATTCATTCCCTGTCCACCATTATTTACCGATGCATTTCAACCGATAGTACATATTCTTGATAGTGATATATTTTTAATATTACTTAAAGCATGTCTCTATCGATCGACTGATCCAAAAGCTCAAGTATGGTCTGAAGCTATTCTTAATCGAGTAAATACTAAAAAACTAAATTCTCTCTCAAAAACTATAATTGTATTTTATTTTCTTAGGCATTACATTTAATAACTTTAGCTTTTTATGAACAAGAACGTACGTCTAATTTTGAGTTTTATTCTAAAAGTCAAAAATTTGAAATTGATCAATTATTTAATCAATTATATATGAATACACCATCAAAAGCCGATTCATGTAAAGAATTACTCAATCATGTTTATAAAGTTTGTTTTAAATGTTAAAAATTTATTCTTATATATATATTTCTTAATATTTTATAGCTTTATCGAAAACTTAATACAACAAATGAACAAATAAGTACAACAATGGGGATGACAACAACAACAACAATTTCTACACAACAAGAAACAGTTGATTTAAATAAACGAGCACAACGTAAACGAAAAGATTTAGCTGCACAAAAACGTGCAAAAATTATTGCACAAATGACTGAATTACAAAAGAATTTCATTGAAAAAAATATTCAATCATACTCAGATAATATGGATGATCAACAATCAACAGATCAACAAATTCTATCAACTTCACCAAATACTTCAACAAAATTTGAACCTATGATGATTGATGATACATATCCAAATATTCAATCATGTCTTGGTACAAATGATATGGAATTCACTCAATCAAATAAACAATTATTAACATGTATTTTTTGTCAAGAAAATAGCGAAGTTAAACTTAATTCTGAAGCCTTAGTACTTTCAGCTTATGTACAAAAGTTAGTATTTTTATTTCTTTCGGAATAATTTCATACTATTTATTATTTATAGTTCAAGAGTTTTATCAAAAAATAGAACACGAAGAATCGAAAATTGGGATGTATTTGATCCAACTTTTATGTCAAATGATCTTCATTGGGGTGTACATGTTTCATCATGTGGTCATGCTATTCACGCTTCGTGTTGGACTAAGTAAGTTGAAAACTAACTATATTTTGACGGTTTTTTTGTATGAAGAGTTGGAAAGGAACGTTTGCCAAAAAGGCAAAGTCATTGACCGGAGATGGGCAACTCCAATTCCGGAGTTGACGCTTTTTTGCCTGGAGTTAGAGTTGGCATTGCAAACATCGAAGTTGAAGTTGGAGTGGAGCTGTGAAAAACGAGATGGAGTTGACATTGCAAACATCGGAGTTGGAGTGGAGCCCTAAAAAATCGATGGAGTTGGAGTTGACATCGCAACAAGGGGGAAAAGCGAGACTTCAGGAGTGCATACTTCAGTCGTACTTCAGTTGTATTTCAGCTGTACTTCAATGGCACTTCACTCGGACTTCACTGTACTTCAAAAATATTTTGAAGCAGATGAAGTCTCGCTTTTTCCCCCTTGCATCGCAAACATCGGAGTTGGAGTTGGAGTGGATTTGTGAAAAACGAGATGGAATTGAAGTTGCTTACCCCGGAGTTACCCATCTCTGAAAATCATTATCAGTGACGAATCTAAACTGTATCTCATACGTTAATGATAATTTTATATCAGAAGAAGCATAACACAAGTTCTATGCGTTTAAATGTCTATAACTTCATCATTTTTTATTTACCATTGGTTTGACTAAATTTTCTTTATTTAGATATCACAATTCGATAACATCACAAGATCATCGTCGAACATTACGTATGCGTGGTTCAGCAAATTATGATACGGAACGAAATGAATTTCTTTGTCCATTATGTCAAACATTAAGTAATACGATTATACCAGTTTTACCATCATTACGTACATTTGCTCGTGAAAGAAAATTAGCACAAATGTCATTTAATGAATGGTTAGATGGTTTAGAAAAAGCACTTAATGGTAGTATTGAATCACGTTATGAAATTGAAACACAGGAAGAACAATTATTTTTTAATCCATGTCCATTAACATCAATAACAAAAATGATGGCTGAACGTGCTGCACAAAATTTTCAATTATTATTTGGTTTTGCTGGTGATTCAAAGTAAAAAACAACATATTTTCTTTTGATTTAAATTTATATAAAATTCTTTTTCTTTGAAAATAGAGTACAAGAGTTTTCTGATAGTATTCGTGAACGTTTAATAAGTTTTGCTAAAAATATTTATGCGGTAAATATTCTTCTTCTTTTTTTGTTTTACATAATTATTTTCTTTTTCTAGTTTGGATTAAATGTTGATCCAGAAGATGATAATGATCGTATTCCAATAATTCTTTGGTCATCATGTGCTTATACAATACAATCAACTGAACAAGTACTTCGTATTGATTCAAAATCAATATTTTCTCAATTATCAATTCGACAAAATGAATTAATAAGTTGTTTAACAAAAGTTGCTGCTGTTTATGGTTTATTAAAGGATAACGAGAAAATACGAAAACATTGTTTAAAATTATTATCAGGTTTTTATAAAAGAAAGAATTTAAAAGAAAAATAATTTTCTTTTTTCTCTAGTACTTCTTCTATCACGAACAAATATACAAATACCATCATTAGCTGATATTGATCTATTTCATTTACTTGTTTCACTTTGTTTTACTTTACCTATATTATTTGCATCAAAAGATATATCACCATCATTAACAAATGTCCCAACTGGAAATCTCAATAATCTTTATCTTATGAGACTTATTTTTATGGCACATTGTATACAAATTCTTTCAAGTGAAGGATTTTTATATGAAAATAGTAAAGCTTTGAGTTTTTTCTCGTTTTACATTAAATTTATCTTTATTATTTAGAAAATGATAATTATCAAACACATACAAATGTTCAAAATAAGAATAATGATGATGCAGAAATACAAATCCTTCAAAAATTAATAGAAAAAATTATGAAAAATCAAATGTAATGAATAATTCGAATTTTCTTTTAACAAAATAATCGTTTCATTTTTAAGATCTTCATCTTCATCAACTAATTTATTATCTCCGGAAGAAATTCGAGATAAATTAAAACAATCCGTACTTCCATTACTTCGATGCTCTGCACTTTTCTATCATCATCTAACAGGAACTTCATGGCCAGTTGAATCAGGTATAGAAATATATTTCTAAGTAATTCTTTTTTGTTTTAAATATTTCTGTTTTTAGGATTAGATGAATATTCAACAATTTGTCATTATCTTGGTTTACCAATATGTCTATCGAAATTATTTGATATCGAAAATGAACGTTGTTTAAATGATCTCATAAATAATTGGATATCGAATTTATCAACGAGTAAATCATTAATTAAATATCCAGTATCAGTCAATGAACTATATCAATTACCAAAAGAATATATCGATCTGATGAATCAAGTATCGCAAGGGTAATAAGAAAATATGAATTTTTATGATTAATATTATTTTTTCTATTCTAGTGTTGCACCATATAAATATGCACGTGATGAAATTCGATCACCATGTATATGTTTGATATGTGGTGAAGTTGTTGTTCGTTCAGCATCATCATCAACACCAACTCCAATATCAACAAATAGTATTATATCAGCATTTCTTAATATTGATCAAACACTTGGACCATGTAATCTTCATACTCAACAATGTTGTGGTTCAGTTGGACTTTATTTACGTGTAAAAGAATGTTCATTATTATTACTCAATATAGTTAATGATGGACGTGTAAATAAAACACGTGGAACACTTATGGCTGCTCCATATTTAGATGATTATGGAGAAACAGATCAAAATTTAAGGTAAAATAATAATTTTGTTTTTTTATAAGAATATAATAAACATTTAGACGTGGAAATCCATTACATCTATGTGATGAACGATATCTTGCATTATATCGACGATGGTTAGGACATTCTATACCAGAAGATATATCACGAAACATGGAATTAAGCAATACATCAATTTATGGACATAATTGGAGTCAATTTTAGACTAAAAACGAAACAACAAAATAGACAATCCTTTTTCACTTCTTCGTTTGTTTTCTTTTTCTTTCTTTCTTTCTTTCTTCTATTTGTATCCTGGAAGAACACCGATTCTTATAAACAAAAATTGTTGTCTTTTCCTATTTATCAATACTTGATCAAGCTTGTATGGAAAGAGTTTCTCATATGTAATCAAGGACTTTTTTTTAAAGAAAAATATACTATAAAGAAAGTCAACTGAAATCTTAATTATCATTAAAAAAAAATAATAATCAATTTAGAATTCATGTCGAAATTG